TATTAATTTTGATTATTATTATTATTATTTATTGATTATTATTAGTATTATTGTTGTTGTTGTTGTTGTTATTGTTGTTGTTGTTGTTGTGAACTGAACTGAGCTGAACTGAACTGAACTGAATTTCAACGGAAGAGAACAGACCCTAAATGTGTTTATTTCTACATAGGATTTTAGAATACAAAAGCACACTAATTAATGAGAAAATATCACATATATAAGGAAATTTAAACAATCCTACGTAATATCACAACCTCTAATTATAAGTCTCCACAAAAATTCTCCATCCTTGATCCCGATGCCTACTCCTTATATGTTTATGCCACAGTACCTCCACATCTTGGCTCCACCTCTTGCTACTATTATCTATGGACATCTATGGTCGATCCAACCATTACGGGAGAAAACTCTTCACCTCATAGGCTCATAATAACATTCACTAATTAAAGTGGAGTACGCACTCCACTAAAGTAAACCTTTTTTTTTAAAAAATTAATTTATAAATTACAGGAGCCTTTTCCCTAAATGATGCTAGCAAAACACCCAATTCTATAAATACAGTTTTTTAGAGGTAGCGGTTTTAATGAACAGGTCTGGGCCACACCCGTCACAACTGTCCACTTTATACGACCAAAGAGGTTCCACCTCAAAACCATATGACAATAAGGAGAGTAGTCCCTTAGCCTTATAAAGTGGACACAACTTTCTTATTTCTTTAATGTGGGATACATTTCCCAATACTTTCTACACCCTTCATTGTGGGACAACACACCACCCATATATGGGTTTTCTCCTGGTCTCAACACTCCCCCTCACATGTGAGTTGTCCATAATATTGGTCCAGTTCACAACACAAACTAACCTTGCTGTGATACCTTGACAAATTGGAGAGAAAATAAAATAAAATGGCTTGTATTGTCTGATTATTATAAATCAATAGGTTGAGTATTTATACAAAACCTTATAAGCTCATGAGATAGGAAATTATTTTCCTAAAAGATATACTAGCCTAACCATAAATCTTAATGTGTATATTCTTAATAATATCTTAACATAAAATAAACCTTAAATATATTATTCTCCTTATAAGATCAATACAGAAAATTAAAACACATATATTTTTCGATATCTCGTGATATCTTAGAGATATGATACCAACAAAAAAAATGGTTTATTTCTTTTAGCTTACATGAACGGTATAATGGGAATTAATAAAAGATTGACCGTAATTTAGAAATTGAGTGTTTTCCTAGCATTATTTAGGGAAAGGGCTCAAACTACACATCATATATATATGAATCTACCAAGATCCTAGCTTATTTGGGTAGCCTAACTAAGATTTATTAGTTTCTAATTTTTGTAAAAAATTAAATAAATAAACAATATTCTACATGATAATAATGTATTCTTAAAAAGAAATTACAAGAAAGAATTTATAAAGAAAATTCAATTTTTCTTTTTCTAAAGTAAATCAAATCAACAATAATTAGGAAATTCAAGTCTTAAAAAAAAATCATCTAAAACCACCCGTCAAAAACCACCCACTTAAAAATATGATGTCTAAGACCCTGTTCTCTTCACCTTAAGAAAATAATATTAAGTAAAAAAAATTTCAGTTCAGTAAAAATAAGTTCAGTTCAGTTCAGTAAAATTCAGTTTTCTTAAAGAAGAATTATAATAGAAAATCAGTAAAAATAATTTAAGTTCAGTAAAAATAATTTAAGTTCAGTAAAAATAATTTCAGTTCAGTAAAATTAAGTTCAGTTCAGTAAAAATAAGTCCAGTTCAGTAAAAATAATTTCAATTCAGCAAAATTAAGGTGAATCAAACAGGTCCTAAGACCACCCAAATACAAATTTTGTTGTCTAAGATCACCCGTTTCAACTTTTCGTCCTTGACTTCAATTTCTGGCGTTGACCCCGGGCACGTGACTTTAAATTATCCCCCTTCCCCTTTTTTTCCCTTGATTTTTTTTGCCTACCCTATATCTTTCTGCCTCTTCTCTTCTCTCTCCTCTCTCTGTTCTACCTCCATTGTTAGCTTTTAAATCTGAAATTACTATCCCCCATTTTTGAATAGCAACAACATCCTTCGATAATCCCTAATTTCTTTTTATTTCAATAACAAGGTTGTGAGGTTAGTTTTGGGGAATTAGCATGAGGACATGGCAGAGTGGTCTGGGTTTTCAAGGCATGGCGAGGTATTTGGGGTGGTGAGTCTAAGGTTATGAGTGATGGGGGTAGGTTTTTAAAGTGGTGTGGGTAAATTTGGGGAAAAGGAGAAGAGCGATTGTGGTGGGTTTTTGGTTAGTGGGCTTAGATCTGGAGAAGAGCCGGGGTGAATTAAGGTGGTAGAGGTGGTTGCGTTTTCGACATTTCCTGGTTGATGGAGGTGGCTGTGTTTCGTGGCTGGTAGGTGGGTTTTCCTGGGTTAGTTTTCGGTGAAGGGTGGAATGCGCTGAGTTTTGGGGTGGTTGTAGCGGTTGTGACAGTGGCTGGGTTTGTGATGCTTGTGATGTGGTTTGGTGGGTGGTCAATAATAATAGTCACATGCCCCAAGTCAACGCCGGAGTTAATGGTCAATATCGAAATATTGAGCCAGGTGGTTTTTGACAACAAAAATTTTTACTTGGGTGGTCTTAGGCAACATATTTTTAAGTGGGTTGTTTTTTACAAAAACCAGTATTTAGCGGGTGATTTTAGACAAAATTTTCTAAAAAAAAAAAAAAAGAAAATTTAAGAAATAGAGGGTTCTAAAGTTTGTGATTTGACGTTGGTAAGTGGGCTTAGGCTGCAACCTGCTTCGAGAATACTTTATAAGTTCAATGATATTCTACTATAAAATCATATGACAATAACTCAATCATGGTTAATTAGTGGATTTATGTATTATTTTTGATTGGGTAATTACGACTTTAGCCTGTCACTAAGACCACTCAAATAAATATTTTTGTTGTCTAAGACCACCCGATTCAACTTTCCGACCTTAACTTCAATTTCTGGTGTTGACCCCGGGCACATGACATTAAATCATCACGCCTTCCCCTTTTTTTCTCTCAATTTTTTTTGCCTACCCTATATCTTTTTGCCTCCTCTCTTCTCTCTCCTCTCTCTATTCAACCTCCATTGTTAGCCCTTAAATCTGACATTTCTATCCCCCATCGTTGAATAGCAACAACATCCTTCGATAATCTCTATTTTTTATGTCAATAAGAAGGTTGTGAGGTTATTTTTGGGGAATTAGTGTGAGGACATGGCAGAGTGGTCTGGGTTTCCAAGGCATGGCGAGATATTTGGGGTGGTAAGTCTTAGGTTATTAGTGATGGGGGTAGGTTTTTAAAGTGATCATGATGTGGGTAAATTTGGGGAAAAGGAGAATAGTGGTTGTGGTGGGTTTTTGGTTAGTGGTGGAGAAGGGCCGGGGTGGATTAAGGTGGTGGAGGTGGTTGCGTTTTTGACTTTTCGTGATTGATGGAGGTGGCTGCGTTTCGTGGCTAGTAGGTGGGTTTTTCCTGGGTTAGTTTCCGGTGAAGGGTGGAATGCGCTGGGTTTTGGGGTGGTTGTGGCGGTTGTGACAGTGGCTGGGTTAGTGATGGTCGTAATGTGGTTTGGTGCGTGGTCAGTAATAGTCACGTGCAAGTCACATGCCCCAAGTGAACGTCGGAGTTAATGGTCAATGTCGGAATATTGAGCCAGGTGGTTTTTGACAACAAAAATTTGTATTTGGGTGGTCTTATGCAACATATTTTTAAGTGGGTGGTTTTTGACAAAAACTAGTATTTAGCGGGTGATTTAAGACAAAATTTTCTTAAATTTTTTTTTTGAAATTTAAGAAATAGAGGGTTTGCTAAAGTTTGTGATTTGACTTTGGTAAGTGGGCTTAGGCTGCAATTCAACCTGCTTCGAGAGTACTTTATAAGTTCAACGATATTTTGTTGTAAAATCATATGACAATAACTCAATCAGAGGAGTTATTTTTGTTTAATTTCTTCAATATGGGATACACATCTCTAACACTCAATCTGGCTTTCACATTCAATTATTGTAGTCTTATAGAATAACAATTACACTCACATGTGGGGTTTGTTTATGGGCGATAGACTCTTATCTAATTATAGAATTTGTTCACAAATGTGTTGAACTATTGAAGGGATCATGAATGAGCTGCAACCAATTTGACACACCAACCCACCACATCAAGCTCCCACTACCACCACCTCAACCATCTATCCCAGGCCACCCGTTAACACAACCACTACCCCCACCTCATGTCACCCCACGTCATGTAGAATATATTTTCCTAAACAAAATAATTTTCCTTAGATGTCGTATTTCCATGGAAGTTCACAACCAACTTAATTTGATTATCAATGGAGTTTCTATGGGAAGTTTGATTTCATTGATTTAATTTGGCCAACTCTAAATATAAGCACCTTTATATATGTTCATTTGGTTTGAAAAATAATTCCAAAGAAATTATATAGTCAACTAGGTAATTTCATTTTGTTCCACTTCATAGTCATTTCATTTTTTACTCCGAAGTTATATTTTTGGACTAGTATCAACTAAACAAGCACGTATCTAATTAGAATGATAATATATACATATCGATTTTTTTTTTTTTTAAGACTACAAAATATTGATTGTTAAAACTAAATCAGCAGGAAAAAAAAAATATACACTCTATTTAACATAAAATTTACCAATAAATAAATACATAATACATTAGTACATATATAATAGGTTACATGTCACGAAACTTAAGTAATGAATAAAATAGGAAACATTTTTTCCTTAGAAAGTTGAACGTAAAATACTTAAGACATTAATTATAACATTTGTTGGGCTCTTTTTTCCTCCTCCCCTTCTTTGGAATAAAATTATATTTGTACTTAACATGCAAGTAATAAAGTAAATGATCAAGCTTAATAGATGCCATGCAATACAAAGAAAAGATAAATTAAAAGATGGGAGAAGAAAAAGAGGTAACTTAATAATATATTAAGTTGTGCCAAATAACTTCTTCATCCGTGTAACTTCTTGATGACTTAGAAGAGAGATTTGCTCAGCGATCTCACCAGGTAAATTTCCCTCAAATAGAGAAGATGAAGTGATTTGTAATCCTGGATTTGCACCATTCAAGCTTACAAAGGCAAGAGCCGGAGTTTTACCAACGTTAACTTGAAAATGTAGCATGGCTTGTGGAAACATCATAACGTCACCAACCTCTAACTTTTTATAGTATGCAGTGTTGTTCGTATCAATAAACCCTGCAATAATAGTCCCTTTTGCTACAATAAGGACTTCTGATGTTCGGTGGGAGTGAACTGGGATAACTCCTCCCACTGCAAAGTCTAACCTCGCCAAAGCAATGCCTAGACCATTCAAAGCTGGATATGCATTTGCAAATGCAAGAGTTAAATGATTTCGAAAAATATTTGTGGTGGGTTTCTCACCACGAAACCCTGTGTAAACAAAGTCATCGCTAGTGACTGTAGTGGGATCTTTGCAAGCATATCCTTCTGGTCCCATCGGACGACTAAGGTCTCCTACACAAAAATCGTGTTGGACGGAATGGCTAAAAGATGCTACAAGAGAGAGGATTAAAAAACCTATAAGGCTTTCCATCTAATTGAAAGATAAGATAAGTAATGTGGATGTATGTATGTGCTATGAAGTTTTGGTCTCTACTTGTTGGTGTACTTACATGCATATCAAAGTGGCAAATCACTCCCTACTATATATATATGAGTTGCCTAATCATTTAATCATAGAGATTGCGCCCTTTTTCTAAGAAAAACATTTAAAGAATTAATTTTATTAATGGAGTGAATGATATGATTGTGTTCTTTATCAATTAAATGATTACATTCCTTTACAAATAGACTCATGATGAATGTTAGATGCAAAGATGAATTGAAATGATGCCGAAGTTGACATTGGATAAGGGCAGCAACTTTATCATTTACCTATAAATTTCTTCCATTTAAAAACAAGTATATTGATTTGATGGTATATATTTCTAAGCTAGTACTTTGTAACACTTAATAACAAGTGTCATAATAACTCATGTTACTAAAACTAATTCGATGTTTAGATTAGTATATAAACCATCTAGAAGGAATAGCCCCTTAGCTTTAAAGTATTTGACATTTTTATTTCCTCAATATATTGAGACACTTACATGCGTTGTTTGAGAAATTTATACTTCCACAGTTCTACGTATTGATAAGCATAAAAACTTGAATTTGTTCGATTAGTATTCAAAAGTGTGTTTATTGATTTACAAGTGTAATTTTTCTTCTTGTTCTAGGTTCACCCTTGAAATTTTTTGGACAAGAAAAATAACATTCAAAAGATTAATAATTGTTGGAAACTTGAAGAAGACACTTAACATGGAGAAATTAATAACTCATTCAGGTTGAAAAGTTGAAAATTTGTCAAAAAAAAAATAATCTTTGAGCGGTCTTACATAATAAACTAGGGTGGGGTTTAACGATTCGGGGGCTACGACCCTTGCTGGTTGATTACTAGGGTTATTTTTAGACGTGTTAGGATTGGTAACGGGGGTTTTGTGGTTGTTTAGGCTCGTTTTAAGGGGGGTGGGGTGATTGAAAGGTGGTTGCAGGGTGATTTTAAGGTGGTGTAGACTGGTTGAAGGGGGGTGGTGTAGAGTGGTTGAGAGGGGGGGGGGGGGGAGGGGTTTATGTGCATAATTCAAGATCATGCATGATTTATGTGCATAATTGTAAGGAAAAATTAAAACTAATAATCCGACCTTTGGCATATCTTCGTCTCAAAACAATTTCACCTTAGCGTATTGTGGAAACAATTCCACCTTTATACTCCATATTTTCAAAATGAGACTTTTACCGGTATGAGGAATAACAATCGGTTTTAGAAGGTGACTGCCAAGTGTCACCTTCTAATATTTTTTTTAAAAAAAAAAATTAAAAATAAAGGAATAAAAAAATTGCCCTTCTTTCCCCTGCCGCCTATTGGAGCTCCCCTCCCCTTGCCAAACTAGTTGCATGTCGAAATTAGTTGCCTTCCCCTATCGGACCCACCTCTTTCACGATTCCCTCCCCTACCGGACATGTAGAGGTGGCCAGTGGGCCGGGTTGGACCCAGCCCACCCTAACTCGCACGGCTGGTGGGTCACGTGGGTCCGACCCGGTTTCAATCCGGCACAGCCCGGCACAGCTCGGATTTAATCCGGGTTGTGTCGTGGGTCCAAAATTTTCGACACAACCCATTTCAACCCAGCTCAGTTTAACCCGTTTGATTCGACCCAAATCGCACAACCCGTTTTGACTCATTTAATTCGACACACCTAGCCCGTGAACCCACCTAACCCGACCCACCTGGCACAACCCAGCCCGCACGGCCCACCCGCACGAATGACCCACCCAACCCGCACGAGCCAACCCACCTAACCCGCACGCATGACCCACCCAACCCGCACGCATGACCCACCCAACCCGCACGGCCGGCACAACCCGCACGGCCCGCACGGCCCGCACAGCCCGCACAATTCGCACGACCCGCACGGCCCGCACGACCTAACATCCATTTTAAAAAAAAAACGGCTAGTTTTTTGTATCTAACGGCTAGTTTTTTGTATCTAACGGCTAGTTTTTTAAGTGTATGATCATCCATTCTATTTTTCCTATAAATACCAATTCCATTTCACTCAAATTTCCACACAAATTCAAGCTTTCTTTCTCTCTTACTTAAAAATTCTTATTGTTCTCAAATTCTCAAGTGTTATATAGAGTTATATTTTTGTTAAAAAAAATCTCCTTAATATTATTATTAGTATTCTTAAGATTCTAAAAAAAAAAAGTTCTTCTCCATATTATAATTAGTAATCATACAAAAAAAAAATGAGCTCAAGAGGAGGAATGGGAAGGAGTCAAAGTGGTGGTCGAAGTGGTAGCCAAAGGAGTGGTGGTGCAAATTTTTCGTATGAAATTAATACGGAAAATTTAAACCAATTTGTCAATGAATATGGAGATTATGGTTTAGGAGATAGGCAAAATATTCAAACGTCTCCACCACAACATTTCTCCCACGAGTCCCACCAATCATCAAGTTCAACTATGCCACCTCCATCGCAACCAACATCTCAACCTTCATCTCAAGGTAATTTCTAATTAAATTTTTATTGTTATGAATATTTAAAAAAACTATTATTAATGATTATAAAGTTAGTTTAGTTTCCAATTTTCTATGATTTACAATTAGTTAATTACCATGAAAAATGCGTTTAAATAAGTATAATTAAAATATTTAAAATTTAAAAGCTTATTTTCATGAATAGCATTTAAAAATTAATTTTAATAATTTGATTTATGAAAGGTGGTGGCGGTGAAAGTAGAGGTCGAGCACATTTTTCTTGGGTGTGGAAACATTTTGAACGAGTTGAGGTCACACCCCCGGGATGGCAACCTGGTCAACCAAAGAGGTTCACGTGTACATGCGTAGTTTGCAAGGCGCTAGGTGCAAATGTCAAGTCATATAATTGGAAAACGGGAGATGGAACCGGAACCTTGAGTCGGCATTTGCAAAATAAACACGACTTGTTCGAAAATGGCCCCCGTCCTTCGGGGGGTGGCGTCCAAACACAATTGGGTGGATACATGAACCAACCCGGCGGAGGTACACCTTTCATTTATAATAAAGATAGAATGATTGATGAAATGAGTACTTTAGTTATTGCTAATGAATACCCTTTTAGTTACGGTGAAAATGCAAACGTTGAGCATTTTAATAAAGTTGCATTACAACCTGCATTTACTCGTGTCCCCCGAAATACCCTAAGACGTTATACACAAACTTCTTATTATAAGTATAGGAGTGGTTTGATTGAATTATTTCGTACTTTTGATGGTCGTGTTAGTTTTACAAGTGATACATGGACTTCTAGTTTTGGCGAACCTTTTCTTTGCATTACTGCTCATTGGGTGGATGATGATTGGTTTATTCAAAAACGTATACTATGTTTTCAAGCTATGGAAGAAAGGCATACCGGTTTTAACATCAAAGTTCGTATTTTGGATTGTTTAAAAGAATTTCACTTGAATAATAAAGTTTTTTCTTTGTCTCTTGATAATGCAACTGCAAACACAAAGTGTATTGACTATTTGAAAAATGACTCCGAGTTGAATTTGTTGTTGGGTGGTAGTCTCTTGCATGTTAGATGTTGTGCTCATATTTTGAATTTGTCTGTTCAAGAGGGTCTCGCTGAGTTGCAACCATTGCTAAACCCAATTAGAACAGTTATAAAATGGATTAGGATTACTCAGTCAGTTAGAAGAAAGTACATAGCTATGTGTAAAGAGAGAGGTCTTAAGAAAAGACAATGGTCTATTGATACCCCTACCCGTTGGAATTCTACTTTCAAGTTGTTGAGTGATGCTATAAAGTATCGTGATATTTTGACCCAACTTTACAATGAGACTCGTGTTGATCCTACTGAGTTAATAACCGAAAGTCATTGGACTAATGCTTCTTTTGTTCGTGATGTTTTAAATGCTTTTGATAGTGCAACTCATATTTTCTCTTATATTTATGAGCCTAACGTTCATTTAGTCATAATTGAGTGTGTTAAAGTTGTTCACACCATCGAAGAGCATATGAAGATTGATGGACTTCGTCCCGTTCTTGATAGCATGAAACGTAAGTGGCATACTTATTTTAGTGAATTTCCAATCATTTATGGAATTGCTGCTATTCTTGACCCCGGTGTCAAAGCTGAAGGTTTGGAAAATCTTTTAGAATTTTATTATACAAGTTTAAGTATCGATTATGATGTTAGTGAATATATTAACAAATGCAAATCTGTTTTGGGAGACCTTTATGATCATTATGCATCTATTTATGGTTTTGATTTGGCAACACCAACTACTACTAGCACTTCCGATTCTAGATTTGGTTTTCTTGATAAAGTTATGAAAAAAAAACACAAAGCATCTACATCATTCTCATCATCATCTTCTTCAACACTTGCTATTAATGATTATTTGTCATATCAACATGAGACCAACAACAACTTTCAAATTATAAAATGGTGGCAAGAACATAAAAAAGGTTTTCCTATATTGGCGAGAATTGCAAAAGATATACTTGCAGTTCCCGCTTCATCTGTTGCTTCCGAGTCTGCTTTTAGTGCAGGTAGAAGAGTGTTAGATGAAAAAAGATCTCGCTTAACTCCGGAAAGCATTCAAATTTGTGTTTGTAAGAAAGATTGGGATCAAGCTGAAAGAAGAACTCAAGGTTTAAAGGAAGACGAAGACGATGAAGATGATCCTGTGATGATATTGGAGTCGTCAACGGATGATGCAGCTTCCGGGGATGATGATGCAACAAACATGGGTGGCTAGAAAAGTCTAAATCAGGTACGCTAAGAACTACGTGGGCTTTGATTCTTTCGGGATACGTAGGCAACTTATTTTTCGAAAATTACAATTTAATTGCAAAATTAAATTTTAGTTTTCTAAAGATAGGTCCAAGCCCCCCCCAAATTTCAA